GTAAAAGGCGACCTTCCTACTTAAAAGTGAGGAAACACATGCCCCCCCCCTCCCTGCTGACATACGCCTGCATATTTTTGGATGCCTTACTAGGGCAGCGCAACTACAGTGAAAGGCGCTTCTCGGAAACGGCATCCTGGTGGAAAACTGCTTAACTGCCCAACCATTTAATTGAGAAGAGTACATATAAAGGGCCATTGACGAAAAGGCACAGGTTTACCAGCGGAAGAATTAATTCGCTTTAAAGAAACATGCACATTAGCAATCGCTAACTTAAACCTCCTTCTACCCGCTTTTCTCTTGCACACTCCCATGACAAGTCATAAATCAAAATTGAATAAAGTAAAACAGAATACAAAACCAGTAGTTGGGAACCTTAATACTTTGGAGGTAGAATGTTGAAGATCAAGCGCCATCTAAAATAAAAAGAGCAGTTGTGCAAAAGCAAAAACCGCTGAACGCACATGCCCGACCTCCAAGTGAATACTCAGCTTAGTTTAGAGCGGAGCGGTCGTGGAGCATAGCATTTATTGGCCTGACGTTTTGGGAACTTCCTTGGAGCCATCATCAGGGACAGCTGTAGTCAACTCCACTTAGTCTTCGGTGTAACCCATTCCAGCTACTCAGTCCGCGCATTAATCAATCCTACATCCCAAAGTCAACTTCGCGTCTCGCCGGTGCTTCTCGACGCCTTCGACTGTTGGCCAGCATATTCACCCACGACCTGCTACCAGCAAATGGCAGTTAAAAAATATCTATATCAAAGTGTCGGGAGGCATTACGCAAATAATACTAAGTTAGCTTTATATGCAGGTGTAGACATACAGTCGGATTTGAACGGCGACAGAGCCTGAATAGACGGAATCCGATGGTAGCGCACAAGAGCGCAAAGTGAAGGAGGTCAGCGCTTCACCCTTTTCTTCATCGGGATGATAGTTGCATGTGCACACCGGTCAATACTTAGGGGGCTCGCTACTAAGTTGGCTTATTGCATTATGTATACATACCGGTATATGATTCATCGTCCAAGATGAGGGATTTAGTTAAGAGCAAAAGTTGCAGCTCTATCAGTGCCAAAATGACTACAATAAAAGCATCTAAGATGGACTGAGTTTGTTTACCGATGAAAATGCAGGCAGTTTGTAATATCGCAGAAAGTGATAAAATGGCAAAGAAGGGGTAGCTAGAAAATCCTTGAGAATACAATGTTATTATTGCCTCAATCGCCCAGACTGGTTCGTTAACCTTAGCGTTTCTGTATTTTAAGGTGAGATGGGAGATCTTGATGGGAACCCCCTTGGTAACCATTTACGCTCTACGGAAGGACAGTTCTCCCCACCGGCAATTGCGGATTCTACAACTCCGACTGTTATTCCAACACTCGATGCTGAAAGTACAAATACACACACGACCCTAATGGAAACTAATGCTGTTCAACCAAGATTAACAACACTGACCGAGGTAACGGAAGAACCGAACACAATGGCCGATTCCACAACTCCGTCTGTCTTTTCAACACGTTCCACTGAAAGCCTAGCAACACAACCGACTCCAATGGAAATTCATACTGTTCAAACAACGTCCGCGGCATCGACCAAAGTAACCGGATTAAGTGACAGTCCGACGCCACTCTCGACCATACAGAGTAGTATCGAAAGTTCTGAGTCAACATCCACAGTATCTACTTC